AATTAACACATGGTTCGGCTGCTACGTTTGCTCTGGAGTCAGAAAAACTATACACTACCCAACGTGGCCTACTTCAGGAATTGCCTAGCGCGTCTACCAAACGGCGTCGCTCGAACACTCGGTCTACTACATCCGACGTAAGAAGTCCGCCTGAGAAGTGGAAGCGGTCTCCCACTATTGGGATGGGTCGAACACTACGCATTACAGACTTCTACGAATGCAAACCTATACCATCTCAAGTTGCCCAGTTTCACCGACAGCTCTTGTCATGGGCGATAATAGAGCTCAGCTCCGATCCTAAGACCTTGGCGAAGGCGATGAGGTCGCCGATTTTGATCAGCGCTCTCAACGGTCTCCGCCCTGGCTACCGAGGAATGCAGCTAAAAACGTATGAAGACGTCAAAAGACTCATGGAAGACATCTACCAGGAACTGAAGTTCCAGTCGATCACCTACATTCTCACTTCCGTAAGGTCGAATAGGCAGATAGGACTGTCTATTTGCACGACCAAGATGGAGAAAAGCCAGAGCTCGCCTGATTATCAGACGCGTTACGCTTGCGTAGCTTTTGCGCAAGTTGAAGAATCTAACAGGCTTGTGTATGTTCCAGTGGCAATGAGAGCGTTCATGCGTTTGGATCAATCATCCATGTCCGTAAAACCCCAGCGCTGGACCTCACTAAGGTGTGCTCGGAGGCTCAGAAGGCGAAATCATCGTTCAAGGTTCTCCCTAATACTCTGCCCCCGGCAATTGTGGTGAAGAAGGTTCTCGATCAACCGTTTGCTTACTATGATTTGGGTGAGTTCATGTTCCCGAGCCATGTTTTTGACAATGACCTCGAGACGATCACTACAATCACTGGTGAGGTGGTACAACGGAGGCGCTCAGATGGCAAGAAGGAGCCGATCCGTAATATTGGTCAATGGTGCGAGTGCTTCGTGCGCTATGCGGTAACTCTTCAACTCTCTGATAGAGGCCGTAAAGAGGTAGACTTCGGTACATTGTTCTCTTATTTGGCTCACGTCTGTGCTGCATTTGAGGTCCACCCGTATCAGGCAGTTATACAGGCAGAGGCGAAGTATCGACGGACCGGTGCCATGGCGGTCGCTAGTGGAGTAATAACGATGGAGAAGTTGTTCGGTGAAGAGACTTATCTTCGTCCAAGGTTGGACATGGAGATTGGCTCGGTACTCAACAATCGAGACTATTCCCCTGGTAAAGGCAAGGGTTTTGGCAAAGGGAAAGGGTTCTAATTGGAGCTCTGGCCCTTTCCGTGGTAAAGGAAAAGGTCAAGGTAAAGGAAAGGGGCATCGTTCACAACCTTACGACAAC